AAAGAACATAGTGAGATAAATCTTGTAGATGTTAGTTTGATCATTACGGCATTGTAGCCAGAAAGGTCTTAAGTCTCAGCATCATGCACTACTGCATATTGTTAACGAAAGTCCACCATTTAGAATTATTTCAAATAGGTTCATTATGGGATGTGGTTGTTTTACGCATTTTATTTTTAAGATTTCTGAAAAATGATCAGTATTTTCAGCGGATTATCAATTAGATAACATGTGATACGACACACTGGTTTGTCATCAAAGATGAGCGTTTTTCTAAAAATATATTTTGTAAAGAAGATAAAGCGTGCTTCACTAAGAAATATTATTCACTACTTGGCTGAGTAGTAATGCAACAGAAGCAGACGAAAGACTTGATACTAAACTGTTTAACAGGAAATTGGTATCTCTTTACAATCGAATTATGTACACCTTATCTTCAACGCACCGCTTGCACAGATCTTTGCACATTCATCAACCTGAAACCAATCTGGAAATCTTCGTCACTCAGCCAGCATCAACAACAAAATTCAGTCAGATTTTCAATACAAACAACGTCAAGTCAGTCAGTTCTTCTATACGGATCGGATGAGAAACTTGGTGGGCAGGTCACAAAGAATATTTCCAACAGCCTGTTGCAGACCTGCATCAACAACTGTCTTCGCTCTATACAGAAGATCAAATCATATGGCCGGAAAGAATCACCAACAAGAAACTATGGGAACAAACAAAACAAAACAAGAACCAATCGCCAACCAACAAATATGCAGGAGAAAGTGGATTGAGATGGATTGAACACTCGCTCGCTGAGGAGGCAGCTGGGTGACATCACGCGCGAGTCAGGCCATTGCTCAAGTGGAACCTGACTGAAAGGGAAGCGGCGAGTGGGATGTCAGTACAAGGGAGACATGGAGGAGATCATGTGAAGAGAGAGGAGTTGAAACAGTATGGACCAATATGGATGCATGTGAAAAGTACAGCAGAAAGAAGATAGAAGCAAATGGAGACGCGCAGTTGAAGCCCTATGTTCCACTAGGAACCCAAGGGAACAATAATAATAATAATAGCCCAATGAACATCTCTTTACTTATATACTACTGATAAACCTTATCAGTAGCACACAACACAGTAACATATTCTCTAGAAAATTGGTTCATATACATTAGTGAGTCATTTAATTATCCCAAAGGAAGTATAATATGCCTCTAGTTTTCAGCTATGCTTAGATTAAAAATTTTAGCCTAGATGAAGAAGGAATATCTGCCTTTCTGATTATCATCAAGCAGCATAGATATATTTTCCGAGTCATCACTACACCTCAATATTCAAAATTTAATAGAAATTAAATGGTATGTATTTGATAAGAAAATTATCCTTTATATATGACAATGGTTATACTCACGCAATCCCCAAAGCTATTAGTCACAGTTGCAACACTAAAAAGATTTATACCTTACATAAAATTAGAACCAACCCTTCACCCACCCCCCCGCCTTTTATAACCACAGGAGATGTATTTTGGTGTTACGCAGCTTGATTTGTTAACTTCATTCAAGACCTTATTATATATTAACTTGTATTTCGATTTCAATGACGATAATGCCTAATACATAGATTACCACTCTTTTTTTAATACATTAGTGGAATTTCTGCATTTTTGGTAGAAGACAGTGTGCCATTTTGGATAAGTTTTTTTATGCAGCATACAGTGAAACAGTATTAATAACTAAATGACGTCTTGAACACAGTTGATTGCTCATAATCTCATCACATACCCATATCTCACATACACACATACACATGTCATAGAAATGACGTAACATTTTTACAAAATATACGAAAAATCGTGCTTAAAACAGTGGGGGGTAAGACAATATGAAGTAAATTAACAAGTCATATGAATACACTGATATTATGATTATGAACAATCAGGTGTACTCAAAACGTCAGTCAGTTATTCATACTGTATTACTGTATTTTTCATCAAATAAGCTTATAATATATGAAATTATATTCTACTACAGTGCTCAGACTCCACTTTTACGTTAAAAATCCTGTTAATCCTGAAGAGAACGGAAAAATCACTCTGGATAGACCTTTTTTTCTGTTAAAAGTTGAAAATAACATTTCTTCCCATCAGGCCATTGTGTTTCTCACTAATTTGAAACAAAGCTTTGTTTTTCTTTCAAGGAATATAATTTCTACGTGGGTGACGCTAAATACACAGATGTCCACTCACACTCTGTTAACAGCTTCTGTCTCTTTTATGAATATTTTGTGTTTGATTTCATAACAGGAGTTAGTAAATTAATCTAATCAAATGTTGGTTTGCAGAGATTCGGTTGGTAACAGGTTCGATCACGAGTTGACATCAGTTAGAGAACTGTTGGAAAACCTAAGAGTACTGAACAGCTGTTTCATTAGCCCAGTGTGGAAGCCTTGAGCACTTCGTACCCCCAGATCGGGGTTCGAACCCAGGGCCTACTGGTTACAAGGTAAGCACGTTGACCATCCAACCACTAAGACGGAATCCAATGGCCGGCGCATGAATTCTTTCTTCTGCCAATTCGTGATTGTGTCATAACCACCAGCCAGTGTTATATATAAGTATTTGTCCTTACATGCGACATGGTGCATACCACTGGTCACATGTTCTCATGAATTGGTAGAAGCCGGAATTCATGGGCCACTGAGTTTGGTCGTGGTGACCGAATGTTATATGAGCTTTTCTTGTAACCGGAAGGTCCTGGGTTCGAAATGGTGGGTGCGTACTGCTAAATAAAACTGTCAAGACTTAATTTTCTTAAAGTAAAAGCAAGTTAAAATTGAAAATTAATAAAAGAAAATTTATTGCAGGGAACGACCAGTGAAGAGGTTAAGACCAATGTAGAATAAGAGACTGGACAAACTCTTTCTGTATACAGAGTTCGGGGTTTGTTTTGACGAATCGCCAACGCCTCCGCCATACACAAATACCGAAATCTGACGCTCTTTGTACCATTTGACCTCACCTTGTAGATGATCTTGAAAGATGACTGTGGTGGAGCTATGTGGCTTGAGTTTACCAAATGCTCGAGAATTGGACTAGTAACTGCCTTGCATTTTGCTTTTGCTAACTATGCCGGATAATGTTCAGAGATGCGTTTGGACAGTGTGCGATTTGTTCAGCCAATATAACTAGCTCCACACAAGCAGGTGAATTTATAGACACACATTGCGAAGTGGACCATCCAAAGCGGCAGTTTATCCTTCACACATCCTTGGACCACTTCGGTGTGTGTTTATAGATTCACCTGCTCGTGTGGAGCTAGTCATATTGTCCTAACACATCGCACAACTTCCAAACGCATCTCTGAACATTATCCAGCATGATTAGCAAAAGGACAATGCAAGGCAGTTACTAGTACAATTCTCGAGCATTTAGTGAACTCAAGCCACGTAGCTCCGCCAGAGTCATCTCGTTGGCGATTCGTCAGTATAACCCCGAACTCGGTATACAGAAAAAGTTTGTCCAGTCTCTTATTCTACCATGGCCTTAACCTCTTCACTGGTAAAAAAAAATTTCTTTTATTAATTTCCTATTTTAATTTTTAGTTTGCATTTACTTAATTTTCTTTTGAAAAACAAATTCCGTCGGTATAGAGACTATCTAACTTTTGCGAAAAATTGAAAAAATAACTCTAAAATGTTGTAAGTAATCTAAGTGTAACCTTTTATGATCTGAAACACATCTACACTCATAAAAGTTTACACATATTTAAAGTAAGTTAAATCGCATATTATCATAAAAATAAACCTAAACTAGCGAAATGGCTACCCAGTTTTACTCAGAATAGCATGGTACCATCGTTTATTTCATTGGCTTCTCATCATCTCAGCTGCTTACAGCCTAAATAAATTATTACTAAGTTTATGTGCAGAAAAGTTTTAACATACTTGCAAATTTTACATGTTGTCAGTTGACAGATAGTTCCACAATTGGTAAACAGTGCTCAGGAAATTGCGCTTATACAGTTTTTACACAGGCAGTTCAAGTTTAAACAAAATAAATGTATGCATACAATGGTGAAGGAGTTACGTAATAAAGATGAGATGTGCGTTAGATACATAGTGACTAATAAGTTAGGTAACAATGTAGTGAGTTCAACTCAAACCATAGAAACAAGACACAAGCAAAATTACAGATTATAAAAGGAGGGTGAGGTTAAAGACAAAGATTACGTAATCAGATGAGAGAAAAAAAGATACATCCAGTTACCAGGACAAGGAAAGACTAATAACTGCTTCTTTCTGAACACATAAATCTGGTTTCAAGCGTTTGATAGAAATTGCTTAGGTAAACTTAAGAAGAATGGAGCTCCTTTGTCTATTGATAATTTTGAAGGATTTCTCGATTTCCACTCCATGACCCATGTCGAGGAGATGTGTAGTAATAACGCTACTATGAGAGTTAGTTCCCTTCAGACGTAGGCTTTTCGGCACATGTTCATTTATTTTTGTTGAAACTTTAACTCCCTGTGTAAAAACTATTTAAGCTCAATTTTCTGATCACTGTTCACTAATTACGGAACCTTCTGTCAACTGACAACATGTAAAATTTGCAAGTATGTTAAAACTTTTCTGTACTTAAACCTCATAATTTATTTAGTCTGTAAGCAGCTGATGAGAAGTCAACGAAATAAATGATGGTACCATGTTATTCTGCACAAACCACCACTGTTGTTCTTGCTTTATTCAAATGCATAAAGTGGAATAAATGCATAAAGTATCCGGTTTTAGTAAGCATTACTGATTGATATGACTGGTGTTCAGCTGCTCATATCAATCAATAGTGTATTAGCCGCTGTGTATTAAACGTCAAAGACTGGCTGTGAATTTTGTACATCTACATCTACATATATATGCCATAAACTGAAGAAGGGTCAGTTAGTAATTCTCATCATAGAATAATTTGTACCAGGACTAATAATTTCATTTTTGTTTTGTCTCTAATTTAATTTTAGGTGTACATTACGCGCTTGACTAAAAAATATCTCTGATGCATTTAATTACCGATGATACCTTTCACTTTCAACTGTCATTCATAAAAAGGAATGATTCAGGAATATTACAGGTAAAAATTCTTTGAAATTGATTATTTGGTGACTTCTTCTCATTTGCATATTCATTTATTCATTCATTCACTGATTGACTGACTGGTTGAACACGGTGATTATATTTCCGTTTTAAAATTAATAACGGTATCAATAATCATCAGACAGTGACATTTCATTAAATGATTGATTTCCTTAGATCTACTGGGTCAATCCAGAAAATTTATTTTTATTATTAGAAGTAGTAGTATTCTGTATAACCTAGTGAAGTCTCTGACTGTAGCATCTAACAGTATAGGTTAGGATATCAAAGGTAAAAGAAGTATCATTTTATTTGCAATTATACCTACCATGCTAGGAAAATACATAAGTCAGACGCTATCCCAAAAATAATTTCTAGTGCTAAATTAGAATATACAGCAATATATATAGGCTTAGTAAACATACACTACAACTATTCGCTATATAAAGAAAAAATCCCCATTTAGACATTTAGAAAACAGAAAGATTGAGCGAAGAAATATTTACTTTTCAATTAGATCCTCATCTCACTCTGGGTCTACTCTAACATATATAGCATTTTAATTACAATACAACAGTTTGCCAATCAACTGGCGATAAGTTTGCTAACAATAATTAAACAGTGTCAATGGGTTAATAGTTAACGAAGAAAATCAATACAGATTTAAAAGGTGGAAATGGATAGAATAAATTAATTTTACAAGAATAACACGTAAATTAAAGATAAAGTGGTCAAAATAAATAAAATAAATAATTTAGACAAATATTCGCTATATATCTTGATAGACAGTTAGAACTGAAGAGGAACATTATTTACTATCTGGTGAATATTTCAGGTTTTCCATTTTGTCCAGTTGTTTATGCCTACCTAATGTCAAATAAATTCCGAGGCTTACAGGCGAAAACAAACAAACAAACAAGCTGACAGAAGAGGCTGGCAATGAAGACAGAACTTCAGGTGAAGACGAGGAAAGTAACTAACCAATAGCAATAACAAAAAAATAACACCAGTCATTATCATCAAGAGAAATTTAAAAGACGTCACTTCCTCCGCCTATCTAGGCACCATCGTTTCAACTACAGGTGGAACGGATGAAGAGGTGAAGACCAGGATCAGAAAAGCAAGGCACACCTTCATCACTCTGAAATCAGTGAGGAGATCTTCCGTATTCAGCATAAAGAACAACATTCGAATTCTCAACACTAATGTTAAATCAGTCAGTTCTTCCACATGCATCAGAAACTTGGCTAAGGCATCACCAAAAGCATTTCTAACAAACTACTATGGCCTTATCGACAGCTGTATTCGCTAGCTCCATAGTGAAGATCAAATGACCAGTAGGTCAGAAAGAATCAGTAACAGAAGTCTCTGGAAACGAACCAGTCAAGAATCTGTTGCTCAGTGACCATGTCAAAGAAAATGTAAATGTATTGGACACACTCTGAAGAGACCGTTGAGTGGCATGGTGTGCCAAGCCCTCGCCTGTAACCAGAATGAGAAACAACGAGGTGGGCGTACTATGGTGATATGAAGGCGATCGTGTGAGGAGGAGATGACAGCCTATGGGAAATCATGGAGCCAGCCAAAGAGGATTGTAGAGAACAGAACAAAATGGATATATTCTATTGAAGGCCTATTTTCCATTCGGAATCTAATGGGAATCATAATTTTGTCCGGTCATTTAGTCAAACTAGCTAGAGTAGGAATGCAGCTGTGTCTTATTGGTCTAGGCTGTCAACCTCCAACCACTGAGTCATGGGTTCGAGTCCCACTTGAGACAGCAAGGTTTGGACGGTCTCACATAATATGTGTGGCGCATTGCCAACTGCATGGAATCGCAAGTGGTTGTTAATTATTTAACACTGAAAATTCAACTACAATGAGAATAACTGAGCAATGTCAGCCGAATGATCCCAAGATTGTGAATGATGCTGATAACCTAAGAAGATAATATCCACGTCAAACATCCTGTGTTGTCATCACTACACAATGACATGAATGGTCTACAGTTGATTACTTCAATCAACAGTGTATACTTTAGAAGAAGTTAGTACAAACAGTAAATGTTTACGGAATTGTAAGAGCATAAACCAGGAGTTACGTAACCAGCTTCATTTAAAAGTTTCCACATTCTATTTTTCAAACATAATATCGACTGTGTGTGTATGTATACTTTTTGGGGCATAAAATTTCTTTCAACTTTAACCCAAAGAAATCTTACTTTTCTTAATTGTGATCAGCTTGTGGGACACTCAGTTTCTGATCTTTTTATATGCTAAACAAGGATACCTATACGTAAATTTATAGAGAAAAAGAAGTTTCATCACAATACTAAGCGACTGGAGCAGAAAATACTTATATTTGTTTTAATATCATACAGAATATTTATATCTGTAAAAACCATTTTTATAATGCTGGATTCCTTAATCATGCAACATCATGAAATAAAAGAACCATGTCTCATTCAAATTGAACATAACTTGAAAAGACTACTCCTTCCACTGAAATGTTTAAATTCCTTCTCAGATTGATTTAGTGGAGGATGTGTGTTAAAATCTGTTGAAAAAAAAAGATTACCGGGGAGAATAAAATACCCGTGTTTATCACCTCTTTATCTCAGATATGCTTTTAGCTAAGTGATAATAACAATAATTACTCTAAAATATGAAATACATACACGTAACCGCAATGAAATTCATTAATCTATGGTCACCTGAATTATTTTGCAAATGTGTTTAGTTATCTTCAGTCGTTGATTGTTTACCCTTCTTACAAATAATAATTTTTTTCAGGATTTCATCATGAGCTGACATTAGTTAGAGAACCATTGGAAAACCTGGGAGTACTGGACAGCTGTTTCGTCCTAGTTTGGGACTCTTCATCAGTACGCACCACCGGGATTCGAACCCAGGACCTTCCGGTTACAAGGCGAGCTCGTATACCATTAAGCCATTGGGACCCGATCCAATGGTCCTTGAAGTTAGAATTCAAGGACGAAACAGCTGTCCAGTACTCCCAGGTTTTCCAATGGTTCTCTAACTAATGTCAGCTCATGATGAAATCCTGAAACCAATCAAATCCTTACAAACCAACACTTGAATAATTTTTTTCAATGCGCACATTTCTAAACGTTACACAAATAGCAACAGTCACACTTGAAGACGGAAGAAGCCGAAGAGGGCGTGAAAGATGTGTGTATTTTGACTAAGCAAAGCTTAAAGTGAGCTAATCACATTTATATAACAAGCCCAGTGAAACGTCCCTCTTCTTGTTCTAGTAGGATTATGTCAGCGTTCTTTTCTGAAAGAGAAGAGGAAAAAAAACTTATTTAATGACACTATACTGGTTTTCTCTTATTATAATAATGTCCAATGCAAATGAAAACACCTTTTACTGCAAAAAACATGCTCAGTTACACATCAATTTTAGTAAGTCAGGGTTCGACTGACTATAAAATATATTAATATTGAGAAAAATGAAGATTTCTTATGTATTCTTTGTTAGTTTCAAGCGAACAAATGACCTATGTACTTATTATTTAGGTATGAACAATGATCTGATCTGATATAATACTGAAACTTATGTTGCTGCTGCTGAGTGGTTAATAGTAGTTTTCCCGTCGCCAAATTGTTATGTACTCGTCGGCAAATTATTGCTATGTACTGTAATGTTAACTTAGGATTTTGTTCTAGCTGATTGATTAATCTTGTATGGAATTACTGTTGATGATTTAGCTTCCTTATTGTTGGTGTCGTCATTAATATTATTATTATCACTATTATTACCATTATTATTATTATTATTATCAATATCACTATTATCATTATTTATCTTATTTTTACATTTACTTACATATTTCTTGATTAATTTATCCGGGTAATTATTAAGTTTCAAGGCTTCCTTTATGTGTATCACTTCCTATCTTAGATTTTCCTTGGTACTACTTAGTTTTTGTGCTCGAAAAATCTATCTATATCTTGTGTTCTAAGTACAGTGAATGTGTCTTCTACATACCTCCACCATACTTGAAGAAAAAATGGTTAGTTTTGACATTGACAGTTTATATACACGTATACCAATAAATATGGCTATAGAGGCAATCAGAAACGAACTCATTTCTGACCAAAAACTCGAACTGAGGACAAAAGTGCCACTTGAGGACATAATGCTGGGAGTGCAGCTTTGCCTAACTTCTACAGTATTTCAATTCCAAGGGAAAATATACAAACAAACTGAGGGAGTTGCCATGGGACCACCAATATCCCCAGTTGTAGCAGATATATTCACGGATAGGTGGGAAAAGATAGCGATTGAAGCGTTCACCCCCACCCCAAAAGTATGGTGGAGGTATGTAGATGACACATTCACTGTACTTAGAACATAAGATATAGATAGATTTTTCGAGCACATCAACTCGAAAGTAGAGGCAATTCAATTCACTTATGAATTGGAAAATCAGGAAAGGGAACTTCCGATGTTAGATTGCAGTATTTGGTGAAGTTGGACGAGTATGTGTAGATTTACGCGGAATATTAGGAGAAGGTGGGTCAAGAGTGGATGATGAGAGAATTTTGCTCTTGCGTAATGCACGAATATCAGAGCTTCTCGAAGGTGTTGATTCGACCAGGTGTGTGTCTTTCTGCAAATTAATCAGCCGTTGATATTCATCAGCTATGTCATGTAATGTTAACTTAGGATTTTGTTCTAGCTGATTGATCAGTCGAGTTCGGATATCTGTGAAACGAGGAGATTGGAGACTGCATATGAGAATCAAGGCTTTGAATTGATCATCTGTTAAGGACCTGAGTCGAAATCTCTCACATTCTCGGTTGACTGTGCCAACGTGAGTAAGAAAATCATCATTTTCATTCATTGTCAGCTTGAGTCAACGATAACGTATGCTGAATAATGAGGAGTGGTCTCCAAAATGTTCACGCAGCAGCTTTATTGTATCACCGAAACACTTGTCACGTGGTTTTTGGGGTAAAATTAGGTTGC